ATATTCATATAACAGCACGGGTAGTATCAGCGTCTTGTATTGTGTGAGTTTGGTCCGGCGGGAGGTGTCCTTGCTTTTGAGTTGTTTGTTCAGACCATAGTAGCATCTGTTGGCCATCACTATCTTTCTCCGAATTTCAAAACTGATGTCATTCGTTTTGTTTATGGCGGTACCAAGGTATATAAAATCTTTGACTACCTCGAAGCTGTAGTTCTCAAGTTCTACAGTTGGTCCGAGTCTACTGGACGTCTTGCATGTTGATACCATCAGCTTGGTCTTCTGGCCGTTTTCTGCCAGACCCACTTTGGCAGACTCCTTCTCAATTTGTTCAATTGTTTGTGGATGTTACCGCTCTCAGTATTCGACCCATTATGTCGATGTCATCGGGGTAGGCGAGTAACATGTGTTGTTTGGTGTACCGAGTACCATTTCTGTTCACTTTTGCCTCTCGTATGACCTTTTTCAGCAAGATGTTAAAAATATCACACTGTCACCTTGTCTAAAACCTCGTTCGATATTAAAGAGCTCCGAGGGGGCCTTTCCGACTTTAACTGCTGATCTTGAGCCTGTTAAAGTTATCCTGCATAGCCGAATTAATTTTGCAGGAATGCCAAACGCAGACATTTCTTTATACACCTCTAAACGGATAGGGCAGTCGAATGCGGCTTTATAGTCGACGAATAGTTGGACTGTTTCGATGTGTTTTTAGTGAGTTTTTTCCAGGATTTGGCACAGAGTGAAAATCTGATCGATGGTGAATTTGCCAGGTCTGAAGCCGCATTGGCTTCAGTCGTTCACACAGCACGCTGGATAGCACTTTATATGCGATGGGAAGAAGACTTATTCCTCTATAGTTGGCACATATCGTCTTGTCTCCTTTTTTGTGCACCGGACGCAGGATGCTGAGGTTCCAATCATTGAGCATGCATTCATCTAGCCAAATTGTACTAATCAGCTGGTGTATGCTCCAGACCAGCATCTGACCAGTCTTGAATAATTCGGCTTGTAACCCATCGGCACCTGCTGCTTTATTATTCTTCAGCCGATTGATTGCTATTCTGACTTCATCTTGACTAGGTGGTATACACTCTATACCGTCATCTATTATTGGTTCTGGGGTATCCTCTTCACCGGTACTATTTGATACCAGAAGTTTGCTCCTAAAAATGCTCCTACCAGATCCTCCAGGCTTCCTTCTTCATCTCTAAAGGAGGATGTGCCTGCACCAAAGCCTTCGATTTGGTGTTTTACCCGTTGGTAGAATTTTCTGACTTCATTCTGACTCCTGTACATCTCGATTTGCTCACGTCTTTCTTGTTCTTTCTTTTTTCTCCATCGCATTATGTGTTGCTACTGTCCGCAGGGTTGTCCTATACGCTGCGTTTTTTACATCGGTAGCATGACGACACTCCTGATCGTACCACGGATTTCTGGATGGTGGTCTTTGGTACCCGAGTGTTGCTTTCGCTGCAGTTTGTAGAGAGAGGGCAATTCTCTTCCACTGTGCTTCTATATTATTATCGTCAAACAGTTCGGTAAGTTGAGCGAAGTAGGCTTCTGCTATCTGTTGTGTTTGCAGCTTTTCGACGTCGAGTGTCCGTGCTGTGTTAGATCGCACCTTTGCTGCTACATTAAGACGGGTGCGTACCTTGGCTGCCACAAGGTAATGGTCCGAATCGATATTCGCTCCTCGGATCGATCGAACGTCTAAAACAATGGATGAATGCCTTCCGTCTATCACAACATGATCTACTTGATTTCTCGTTGTTCGATCGGGACAAGTCCAAGTGGCCTTGTGTATATCGAGATGTTTGAATCTAGTGCTGTTAACTACCATGTTTTTTGCTGCAGCGAAGTCTATCAACCTCATGGAGGCTGAATTTTCCGACGGTGGGACCTAGCAGAATTTTAATGTCATGGCCAGGGCAACGGTAATATGCTGTTTCTAGGCGCTCGTAAATTATGTCTTGGTATGTTCATCTTTATCTTCGGTCGGAGCATGGACGCAAATGGCACTGATGTAGAAGGACTACGCTTTTATACGGATTATAGCAATTCGCTCATCTACTGGAGTGAATCTGGAGACGAGGTATTTTATTCTCCTGTGTCTTACTGATTTACTTACGCCAGTCCCTTTCCATCGCATTTCCTGTAAGGCAATAATATCGGCTTTGTACTTCTTGAGTACATCCGCCAAAGTGAACACTGTTCCTCTTCTGTACAACGTGCGCACATTCCAAGTGCAGATTTGCAGGGGTCGTCAACATTAGGGGGGTTTGGTTTTCGTTTTCTTTGCTTTTTCATAGTAGATTGGGTTTTCCGAGAGTGGGCAACTAAACCGACGCCTCAATATATTTTTTATAGTTCATATGGGTGAACTCGCGGCACATATTAGTTCATTATTTCATCGGTGATGACAATAGCTCCCCAGGTGGCACCGCGGGGAGGTCAGTGTCCACAATTGAGATGAAAGAGGGACCAAGATAAGCCTGGACTTCGCCATGTTAAAGCCAATCAGAGCCGTTGCTTGGTATCTATCATCCCCTACGCCACCCACGCTTTATATAGTCCTGGAAAAAATATTATTGAAACCAGTAAGGAAAGTAGTAAAGTCGGACGGGGCCGACTATAAGATACCCTTCACCACTTTGGGTATATTCAATAGATGGGATCCTAACAGACGTCGCATTTTTGAAGGATCATTAACATGAAATTAAACATGTCATTCTGCAACCTATACTAAATTTTGGTCAGATATAGAGTTGCTTCTTACAATGGGACCAGATTATGTAATTAAATTAAAAATATCGAAATCTAAACCTATTTCATCGAAACTTGTCACATGTTCGGCCACATTTTGAGTTCTTCATTTACTTATAAATCCAAATTTCTTGCAAATAGAAGGATATATAGGGACTTTGGTGCACCATTTACATAAAATCGGACGAAAATATATATATGGGAGCTCTATCTAAATCTAAACCGATTTTCAACCGATCGGACGAAAATATATATGGGATCTATATCTAAATCTGAACCGATTTTCACGAAATTTAACACACGTCTTTCTAGGCTTAATTCAGAATTCTATGCCAAATTTCGTGCAAATCGAAGATTATATAGGGACTATTTTGCAGCATTTACATAAATTCGGATGAAAATATATGGGAGCAATATCCGAATCTGAACCGATTTTTCCCAATTTCAATAGTGTTTGTCCTTGGACCAAATAAGTGATCCATGCCAAATTTCTTCCAATTCGGATCATAAATGTGACATGTACTTTGTTTACAATTTAACATGGACAGACAGACGGACGGACATGCATAAATTGACTAAGAAAGTGGTGCTATGCATATTTTTTGAAAAGAAACCATATAACTAACTCGTTTCCCGTTGCCTGTTGCAAACATATGCACAAAGATATAACACCCTGTACCCTAGTGTGGTGAAGGGTATAAATCTTTCGATTTGCACGAAATTTGGCATAGAGTTCTGAATTAGGTCCAGAATAATGTGTGCCAAGCTTCGAGATAATCGGTTCACATTTAGGTATAGCTCTCATAAACAGTTTCGTCCGATTTAAGGTAAATGGTGCACCAAAGTCCCTATATATCTTTTGATTTGCACGATATTTGGCATAGAGTATTAGATCCTGAATAATGTATTAGGTCCAGAATAATGTGTGCTAAGTTTGGTGAAAATCGGTTCATATTTCGATATAGCTCCCACATTAATTTTTCTCCGATTTTATGTAAATGGTGCACCAAAGTCCTTATATATCTCTCGATTTGCTCGAAATTTTGCATAGTGTACTGAATTGAGTCTAGAATAACGTGTGCCAAGTTTCGGTTTAGATTTATATACAGCTCCCATATATATTTTCGTCCGATTTATGGTAAATGGTGCACTAAAGTTCCAATATATCTTTTGATTTGCACGATGTAAAGTTTGCAGAATGATGTTAGTCGGTACACTTATAGATAAAGATCGCATATTTAAGTTCGTTCAATTTCATGTCAATGTTCCTTTGAAAAGACATATGTAGAATATCCCCAAAAGTGGTGAAGGGTATCATATAGTCAGCCCCGTCCGACTTTACTACTTTCCTTACTGGTTTATTGATGTCTGTTGTTCTTTAGTGATAAGAAACCACAATAACTTTAAGTGCTTCCAAATATATTCTCAGAAGTAAGTCAAGCTTTATCTTGTCTCTATTGCAACAATTGTGTTGGGGGTTTTCATACTTTGTCGATAAGCCTACTGGGAAGCCAATTGGCAAATGTTTGCGTTCTCACTTCTCGTCAGTTTGCATCAGAACCTCGATAGTGACGGAATCGTAATAATGAAAGCAGTGACATTATTATTATTTATAATATTACACACAATAATAAAGAATAATGCAGATAACCGGATCGGTTTCTACATAGCCAAAACCCAACCGATCAACACCAGAGTAAATTCATTAAAAATCTGAAATGAGTAATATTTTAATTCATTTAAATTTCGATGGCAATTTTAGAGGCCCAATAAGGAGGACGATGGCTTTCAACTTTTGCAAAATTTATTCGGAAAAGTAAACTTATTAGTGGAGGAGATTAATAAAATGAGCAATAAGTGGGTATTCGCAATGGAAAACAATTGGATGAATTTAATGTTTAATATTTTATTTTTTTCTTTAATTTCAGAATTGATGATTTAACCAAAGGGTATGTTATTTTATAAGGATTGCCTTCATTTCAGAGATAAAACAGATCTCAATCCTTACAATAACTTTTTATTTATTTATTTTTTCGAAACCAATATGTAGCCTATTAATCTCATATTTTTTATACCCTTCACCACACTGTGGTACAGGGTATTATGTCTTTGTGCATATGTTTGTAACAGGCAAAAATAATCGAGATAGACCAATGGTTCCTTTTGAGAATATGCATAGAATCACTTTCTAAGACGATTTATGCATGTTCGTCCGTCCGTCCGTATGTCCGTCTGTCTGTCCATGTTAAATTGTAAACAAAGTACAGGTCGCATTTATAATATGAATTGGATGAAATTTGACACAACTCATTTCTTAAAAATCGGTTCAGATTTGGATATAGCTCCCATATATATCTTCGTCTGATTTAAGGTAAATGGTGCACCAAAGTCCCTATATAACTTTCGATTTGCACAAAATTTGGCACAATGTACTAAATTAAGTCTAGAATGATGTGTGAAAAGTTTTGAGAAAATCGGTTCAGATTTAGATATAGCTCCCATATATAGCTTCGTCCGATTTTAGGTAAATAGACCAGTAAAGTCCTTGGAAATTTTTTGACTTCCACGAAATTTGGCACAGCGTAATGATCTAGGTCTAGAATGATGTTTGCCAAATTTCGTGAAAATCGGTTCAGATTTAGATATAGCTCCCATATATATCTTCGTCCGATTTAAGGTTAATTGTGTACCAAATTCCCTATAAATCTTTCGATTTGCATGAAATTTGGCACACCGTACTAAATTAAGAATATAGAATATAGAATGATATGTGCAAAGTTTCGTGAAAATCGGTTCAGATTTAGATATAGCTCCCACATATATCTTCGCCCGATTTTAGGTAAATAGTCCACTAAAGTCCCTGGTAATCTTTTGATGTGCACGAAATTTGGCACAGAGTTATGAATAAGATCGAGAATGATGTCTGCCAAGTTTCGTGAAAATCGGTTCAGATTTAGATATAGCTCCCATATGTATTTTCATTCGATTTAAGGTAATTGGTGCACCAAAGACCCTATATATCTTTCGATTTGCACGAATTTTGGTATAGCATAATGAATTAGGTTTAGAGTGATGTGTGTTAAATTTCCTGAAAAACGGTCCATATTTAGATATAGCTCCCATATATATTTTCGTCCGATTGAATATAAATGGTGCACCAAAGCCCACATATATCTTTCGTACTGAACTTAGTATAACCTAAAATTAAATATAAATGCTGCACCAAACTCCCCAGGTCTGTCCGATTGGCACAAAATTTAGCACAACTTATTGAAGTTATTATAAGATAAGGCTTCGCAAGTTGTGTTGAAATCGGTTCAGATTTAGATATAGTTCGAATATATAGTTTCGTCAGATTTTACGTCAGATTGGTACAACATTTTGCACTACGTACTGAAGTTTATATAACCTATCATTATCATATGGAAAGTTTTATTGAAATCGGTTCAAATTTGGATAGAGCTACCATACATATTTTCTCCCGAGTTTAACTAAATGATGCATCAAGAACTCAAAATTTGGCCGATATTTTGTGACAAGCTTCGATGAAATCGGCTTAGATTTCGATGTAGCTTTTATAAATATTTTCGTCTGATTTTAAGTAAATGGTTCACCAAACTCCTCAAGTTTATCAGATATGTATCCAAATATTCAACGGGTGTACGATTGATATTTTGCTTTAAATTGATTTACATAATTTTATCCAATTGTAAGAAGCAACTCTATATCTGACCAAATGAAAAATTTAGAATAGGTTGCAGAATGACATGTTTATGGACCAATTTCATTTTACTGATCCTTCTGTTGAATATACCCAAAGTGGTGAAGGGTATCATATAGTCGGCACCGTCCGACTTTAATACTTTCCTTACTGGTTTTTATTTCCAGACAACAGGAACAAAAAAGGGGTATGAAAAAATTATTGGAGCAAATTACATGGATAAATGCCACCTTGGAGGAAGAAGCCAACAAGGGGTATGTAGATGTTTTAGTCAGATTAATATTTTTTTCATCATACTTAAATAGCCGCTAATTTTTGAATGTAAGCAGACATTTTCTCAAAATAACATATACGAAGATTTCGTTTTTAAAGTGATTTTTTAAATAAGTCAATTTTTTCATTACTCTTCAGCTAAGTCAAAATGTTTCCAATATTTTTTCCCCCCTTTAGAAAAACATCACAAAATTGGACAACAATACTCAGGCGCTTTGATGGCTCTGTCGATTTTTACCGTGGTTGGAATGAGTATAGGCAGGGGTTTGGAAATCCACCCAATGGTGAATTCTTCATTGGCCTTGAAAAACTGCATGAATTAACGACCGCCGCTGCAAACATTGAACTTAAAATCATTTTAAGAGATTGGCAGGGTGAAGAACGTTATGCCATCTACTCTGCCTTTCAAATTGCAGATCAATCAGAGAAATATAAAATTAAGAAACTGGGTGAATATAGTGGAACTGCGGGTGATTCCTTGTCATATAACAGGGGTCTAAAATTTTCCACCTTCGATGCGGATAATGATAATAGTCGGGGAAATTGTGCTGAGGCTTTGATGGGTGCTTGGTGGTTTAGTGACTGTTCTGCGAGGTATAACAAAGAACTTCAGTTAGAAATTTTATTTTTTTTAATTTTTTGCATTACTTTTCTTTGCAGTCATTTTTTTGGGGCATATAACACAAAAAGGGAGTCAGAAACGGGTGGCATTGTATGGTTTCACTGGAAATATAGCTCTCGTTATTCATTTAAGTATGCCGAAATGTTGATTAAGGCAACATTGGTATAATAAACAATTTTTTTACAAACAGATATATCAATTTATTCATGACGATTCTTACGTACTGAAAACAATAATAGAATAAAATACACTAAGATCAGTGATTTATGTATTCAATTCCGAGCACTGTGCAAAAGTAATGTCTTTCGTGCCTAATTTACTCGAATCTGACGAAACAATTCTTTCGGAACTAAATATAAATTGGGCCTGATTTGACCACTAATCAACACTCATTAATCTAGTCTCCAATCGAAGGCTTATTCATGCATTTTCATGACAATCGAACATATAGACTTTGGTGTATCATTTGCATAAAATGGCCAGAACATATATGAGAGCTATGTTTGGAACATTATATTCGATACGCTATGCTAAATGTCGTGTCAATGGGAAAAACGATGAGCCGTTGGTTCACTATTGTTGAATGGGAAGAATATATTACTTACTTACTTAGCTGGCTTGTGACAGAACTTTCGCTGCTTAAGCCAGGCTTACAAAAAATTTCCAGGCGCTTCGGTCTTTTGCGCAGTTTTTTCAATTTGAAAGACCATATTCGGCAATGTTGTTTTCCACTTGGTCTTTCCATCTTATTCGTGGCCTTCCCCTTCTGCGTGAACCATCAGCTGGTTCGCTTTTATATGCCTTCTGGGCTGGGCCATCTTCATTCATTCTCACAACATGACCTAGCCAACGTAGTCACTGCAGCTCAATACGTCTAACAATGTCAATGTCCGAAAATAGCTGGTACAACTCATGGTTCATTCGATGCGATATTCACCGTCGACGCAGATCGGCCAATAGATCTTTCAGAGAATTTTTTTTCCAAACACCCCAAGAGCTTCCTCATTTGCATGCTTCAGATCCATATAACAGCACGTGTAGTATCAGCGTCTTGTAGAGTGCGAGTTTGGTCTGGCAGGAGGTGGCTTTGCTTTTGAGTTGTCACTATCCTTCTCCGAATTTCAAAACTGATGTCATTCGTTTTGTTTATGGCGGTACTAAGGTATATACAATATTTGACTACCTCGAAACTGTAGTTCTCAAGTTCCACAGTTGGTCCGAGTCTACTGGACGTCTTGCGCGTTGATACCATCAACTTGGTCTTCTCGCAGTTTACTGCCAGACCCACTTTGGCGGACTCCTTCTCAATTTGTTAAAATGTGGCTGTTACCGCTCTCAGTGTTCGACCCATTATGTCGATGTCATCGACGTAGGTGAGTAACATGTGTTGTTTGGTGTACAAAGTGTCATTTCTGTTCACTTTTGCCTCTCGTATGACCTATTCCAGAAGGATGTTAAAAAGATCACACGACAAATTGTCAACTTGTCTGAATCCTTTACTACTTTAACTGCTGAACTTGTGCCACTTAAAGTTATCCTGCATAGCCGTATTAATTTTGCAGGAAGGATGAACATAGACATGGCTATAAACACCTCTGAACGGATAGGGCTGTTGAATGCGGCTTTATAGTCGACAAATAAGTGGTTTGTGTCGATGTGTATTTCGTGGGTCTTTTCCAGGATTTGGTATTTTCCAGGATCTGGTCAATGGTGGATTTGCCAGGTCTGAAGCCGCATTGGTATGGGCCGATGATGTCATTGACCAATCGTTCACACAGCACACTGGATAGCACTTTATATGCGATGGGAAGGAGACTTATTCCTCTATAGTTGGCACATATCGTCTTGTCTCCTTTTTTGTGCACGGGACATAGGATGCTGAGGCTCCAATAATTGAGCATGCATCCCTCTAGCCCAATTGTACTAATCACTACACTATGGACATAGAAACATGGTTCGTTTTTAAAAATTTTCATAGAATCACTACATGATGCGAATTGAATGAAACATGGCATATCTCATTTATTTGGCCCAAGGACGAACCCTATTCAAATTGGAAAAAATCGGTTCAGATGTACGTATAGCTCACATATCTATGTGTGAACCGACCTTTGTCCTATTTCATAGGATGCCTATATACGTACTGAATAACTTGTTAAAATTTGAGAATCTCTTCTGGCGTCGCTCAATACTGGCACGAAAAACAATGGCATTCTAAGCTTAATTTGAAATGTTGTGCAAAATTTCGTGTGTACCAAACATGATATGTTTCGTGCACCTTTACTTAAAATCTGACAATAATATATATGAGATATTTAATTTTGTTTCAATCGGCCAATGTTTGGGGTTTTGGTGCACCATTAACATAAAATCGGACAAAAATATAAGTTGGAAGTATATCTAAATCTAAACCGATATCCAAAAGAGTTGGCATACATTAGGCTATACTAAATGAGCGTGTATTTCCGTATATTTCGACTGTTTTTTTTTTTTCAATTGTTCCCACGCCACTCTTACCCGCCCTTGCCGACCGAGGCGGCCTCCTCCCCACAACGTAGGGAGAGTTTTAGTAGAATTTTCGGGTTTTCTAAGGTGAAAAATATATTTGAAGAAGTTTTTCGATTTGGGACCATGTTTCGACATAGATTACATATAAGGAAGTACCCTTCTCATTATACCATACACAGCTATGTTTTCAGTGCATTATAGCTGGACAATCGTCACAAAATTTTGTTTGTAGAACGGCTTCTGGTCAATGAAGACCCCTATTAGTTTTGGTAGTTATCGGTTAATAGTTAGGGGATGAAATGGACCAAAAACTTTATTTTTTCTGTTTTCTAGACGCTCTAGAAGCCATACTTATGACCCGAACATCACGAAATGCACATAGAAAGAGATCTGACCATGAAATGAGCATGACTGTTTTGATGAAGATCAGTCAATATTTACCGAGTCAAAGTGGGCCAGAGGAGTGGTTGACCTTTCAATTGATACAAATTATAGTGATGTATCTACCCTCATGTGGGAGTTATACTAAAGGTTTACTGGTCGATTTGAAATTAAACACGAAGTTCCGGTTATGGTCAAGGATGATATTTAGGTATTGAAATATTCCAGAAATTTAATTTAAATATGTATTATCAATTCGTTCTATAGGCCCACAACACATCACACGGGGAAGGCAATCTGGCCAACTCAATAGAATGGTTGTTTTGATCGGTCAATAATCAGCGGGCTAAATCAACCAATACATTCCTGTGTAAAAAAAAATATTTGCAATATATGGCGGAAATGTTCACCCTGAATATTCCGAAAATATGCAAGGGTAAGTAAGAGTAGCTGTTGATCTCTAATCGGTCAAGAGGGTGCAAATATCGGAAATATTGCCCAGCCAAGAAATATATATCCGCAGAAACTTTGGGATCAGTGGTAGTTGTGTAGGGTATCATATGGTCGGGTCCGTCAGATTACACTGCTCCGCACACTGGTTTTCTAATCAAATTGGCTTCAATTGGGCATTCTGATTTTTTGGAGTGTGCTTCCGATATAGGTGCATGTATTGACAAAGCCGTCATGTTTTCGGTACTTTGAAGGGTTTATAAGAATTTTTCTACTAAAGTAGTAGTAATTTGGAATGTAACTTTTGGTTACATTGCTAGGATGTTTGGTATTGAAAGTTGGATATATCGGTCTACTTTTTAGGGTAATTCCCGTGTAACCCTCAATATGCGGTATTTTAAAGTATTTGATCACATTTCCAACCTAGCCAGTTTTAGAGGGTTATTGTAGACTTACATACCAATATTAAGATGTCTTGACATAGCGCTCATAAAAGGTAGAACCTTATTGTCTGTAATTTGGGAGTTATAAAAAAATTTTCCCATTATTGGCTATTTAACAGTGAAACAATTCTTTTTTTTGCTGAAAATTGTTGATATATGTTATATGTTGTTGATAAATGTTATATGTTATTGCTGATATATGATATAGCCCCCAAATAAAGGTCCGACCTAATTTTCTTTTTTTTTCATAAACATCTTTGCATAAAGTTTTTGAAATATGTTCCTCTTTCTGGATATGTTTAAGTTTCCCTAAAAATATCCCGGATTTTCCACTGAAGTTGGCAATCCGGGTTTTTAAAGAGCGGAAAAATATTTGTATATATTTATATCAGTCGATATTTTGACATAGCAAGGCCCCTCTCCATGTTCATTGTTATTACTGTTTGACCTGATTTTTTTCGTCGAAGTGGTTATAATGTGGCAAATTCCCTCTGAAAAACAAAAGTTATTTCCAGAAAATTTTCAACGTAGGTTAATGTTTTAAAACAGCCCCCATAATAAGGTCCCCTTTCTGGTATGTTGAAAGTCCTAGCAGAATTTTCCAACCTTCTTCCAGAGGATAATCTTCTTCGAAACATGTTTTGTGATTCACCCTATTTATTTTCTATACTTAATATTGTATTAAAAACAACAAACCCTTTCCGATACCTTTTGAACAAATTACTGATATCTTGCAATTCATAGCTGGTACACTATGGCGTATTATTTACAATATCAAGTATACGCTTCATGACTTCTTCACCTAAGAATTTGTATACAAAAAGCTATCCCTCTTTAAATTCAACAAGCACTCCAAAGATAAAAACTAAAATCTCATTACGTCAAATTTTCTTTCTGGCATCTCCTTTTGCATTCAAATTAATGACCCAAAATTGTGTCCATCATTATTTGCCTTAGAGGTCATCATAGAAATCAACACCCAGCCTGTCATCATTAAAACAGGTCAGAAGAAACTTTGAAACATAAAATTTTACACAAAAACACAAATCTTTATGAATGGAAACTATTATTCAAAGTTTGTCAACAAAAAAGTTAAAAAAACAACAAGAAGAACAAGTTGTTATAATTTTCTTTCATTACCTCTTTTACATTTCAATTTCTACTACTAAGGGTAAACTAAACTATGACAAAAAAAGAAACTTCGGCCAAAAGCAAAAATATGAAATATTAATCAACAACAGCTAGGAGGAAACAACATTTCCACAATTTTAAGCAGCAGTCGATCAGGAAGAAATAGGAGTTAGTTTTATTTTCCACAGAAAGCAAAGTCTTAGAATGTTTGTGTGAATGTATGTGTGTTTATAACAACACAGAAAACACAGTTGT